TTTGAGACAGAGTCTCGCTTTGTTGCCCAGGCTAGAGTGAGTGCCGTGGCGTCAGCCTAGCTCACAGCAACCTCAATCTCCTGAGCTCAAGCGATCCTCGTGCCTCAGCCTCCCAAGTACCTGGGACTACAGGCATTCGCCACCATGCCCGGCTAACTTTTTCTATATATTTTTAGTTGGCCAATTAATTTCTTTCTATTTTTAGTAGAGACGGGGTCTTGCTCTTGCTCAGGCTGGTTTGAACTCCTGACCTTGAGCGATCTGCCCGCCTCGGCCTCTCAGAGTGCTAGGATTACAGGCGTGAGCCACCTAGCCTGGCCTGGATTTATTTTATTTTACTTTATTTTTTTGTCAGGACAGGGTCTCACTCTGTCATCCTGGCTAAGGTGCAATGGTGTGCCCATAGCTCACAGCAACCTCAAACTCCTGGGCTCAAGCGATCCTCCTGCCTCAGCCTCCCAAGTAGCTGGGACTACAGGCAAATGTCACTATGCCCAGCTAATTTTTTATATTTTTATTAGAGATGGGGTCTCATTCTTGCTTAGGCTCATCTCAAACTCCTGACCTCAAGCAATCCTCCCACTTTGGCCTCCCAGAGTACAAGGATTATAGGCGTGAGCCATGGCGCCTGGCTGGCCTGGATTTATTAACTGTACTCTTTGTGCCCCCCCCCACTTGGGAAGAAAGGCCCATGGGGAGGGACTTTGCCTTGGCTCTTAGCTGTCTTGCCACCATCCAGCACGGCTGCCAGTCGATAAATATTTGTTGAAGGAATTAATAAAATCTGTCCTCCCACTTACATTACTGCCCTTGCAGTTTCTAATTTCAAGTTGCAAGTGAACTATGAACTGCAAATTACTATATTGTTTCCTGATGCTAATTAAAAAGTCATTAGAATTAACTTGGCTTGATTTTAATCTACCTTCTGAATGTGTTTCAGATTCCCGGTGAAAACAAATACAGAATCCTTCAGTATTCCACAGTGGAGATACAGCAATTCCGCCCTTCTTTGCTCAGCACGTTTGCGTGCTGAGCAGAGGTAAGGGGGGCTCTTAGAACGTGTCCCTTCTCCCCTCCGCTGCCCCATCACGCAGTGCTCCCTGCCTGGGCCAGGCAGCTGTACCTTCTGACTTCAAAATGCCTTTCTCCAGCTCTTCTACAGGTAAAAATAAACCCCATGAAGTGCACTGAAGCAAATTTTAATTTTAAGGTGCCAACTCACCAGTCAGCTCATTGGACTGGGCTGCAGAGGAAGGAAAAGGTGGAAAGTGTGTAAACAAAAGAGATCATTTCTTTTTACTTCAGTTCTCAAAACATTCATATCGGCCCAAACGTATGTCTGGACTCCATACATTCTTGAAGGTAGACTTGCTTAGCCAGTCAAGGTTGGTAGGAAGCCAAATTTACAGGCCTCGCTTTTGCTTTCTGCTAGCTGGGGCTTCAGCCAGCTATAAAATTATCTAGATAATTTAGAATGTAATCACCTCTGCCTCAGCCAATTATTTCAGTAGAAAGTTCCCCCACTAAAGCAATCCTTAACTCTTACAGTTTAAAGAACAACAAAGTGAACCTCACGTGCCCACCGTGGTTTAAGAAACAGAACAGGCGCGCCAGACGGCCCCAGCCCCTCCCAGCACAGCCCCGCTGCCCGGGCAGCCACTGCCCTGACCGGCCAGTCACTCCCTCGCTTTCCCGCAGGAGGCCCAGCTGTGAGTCTGGAGAAACCGAGCAAGCACAGACTCAGCTCTGTGAGCAGGGGCGATCACCACACGCCAGCTCCCCAGGTTGACCTGATTCGAGGCTCGGGGCGGGCCCCGCTGCCGCCACCGGAGTTCTCCAGAACCCTCTGGGGCATGTAGCAGGGCACTGTGTGAACAGGTGCTGCCTGAACACCTGGTCAAAGGGCATGGGCTGCTTGGGACTTTCGGCCTCCAGACTCGCCAGGCCGCAGTGAGTGGAAGCCACTGGGGAGATTACTGGGTTCCCAGGTGCTCTGGGAAGTTGGGTGTTGGCGTCTTCCTCCTGGGCTCACCTTGCCCCTGGGCATTTTGTCTTCATGGACAAGGGCCCGCCATTGTTCCATTGTTCTGTGATCCTAACCCTTCCCATCTGTCTGCTGAGTCACGGCTGCCCCAGGCAGGAGCACAGCTGCCCTCCCACGAGGAGCTCCCTCATCCTCTCTCTGGGGTCCTCTATCCCTCTCCCCTTTTTCCTGGGACTACTTCCTCATTTTGGAGCACATTATCTGATAGCTTCCCCAGAAATGCTGAAAGTCTGTAAACAGCCGAGGCTGCAAGGAGCCAGTGGGGGGGGGGCTCCCACTGCCTCAGACCCACCGCTCCTCCCCAAGGCCTCTTGGAAACCAGCCCGCCAGTTGGGATGTTCTGACCTGCACTCAGTGAGAACTCTCAAAGTGGATGAAGTCTCAGAAAGCAAGGAGGGTCAAGAAGTAATGTGTAAAGATCAAGCCTGTGAAGAGCCACTGCACTTCAGCCTGGGCAACACAGTGAGACCCTGTCTCTTAAAAGATAATTAAAGAATATAGCCTGGAGGAAATTAGATTGGCATTGGCCTGCCCTTGGGGTCCTTTAGGATCACTTAAATGGAAAACCCTAAAACACAGATAAGGAGAGTATATCTAATCAGCTGCCTGCAAGAGTTTCAAGACATGGGCCCCAGGCTGCTCTGCAGCAGCATTCAGGCCTTATGCTGCAGTGTAAATTGTTCCCAGGCTGCAGAGGCTGGGGGACAGGAGGCAGCAGGGCTAAACCTCTGCTCTCCCACCTGGCAGTCCCCTCCCCATCTATGTGCTGATAAGACTCTGCAGTCTGTCTCCCTGAGATGTTGTCTTCTTTTTCAGAGACAGGGTCTCGCTCTGTTCCCTGGCTAGAGTGCAGTGGCATCATCATAGCTCACTGCCACCTCAAACTCCTGGACTCCAGCAATCCTCCTGCCTCAGCCTTCCGAGTAGCTGGGACTACAGGAATGTATTTTTTTGTAGAGTTGGGGTCTCTCGCTCTTGCTCAGGCTGGTCTTGAATTCCTGACCTCAAGTGATCCTCCCACCTTGGCCTCCCAGAGTGCCAGGATTACAGGCATGAACCACCGCACCTGGCTTCTCCTGAGATTTAAGAGAGGAATCAGGAGCCACACCCCATGCAGTCTGGTTTCCATCCCCAGCACTGCTCATTTGCTGCTGGGAGTAAACCAAAGTAAAGCAATCTGAAATTGAGCCCAAGTCATCATTCTTCTTCATCTCAAACCCAGGGTAGCCTCTGCAGTCTTACTAAAAAGTATGCTGGCCTGGGGGCAGGGGACTTGGGCCCCACTCCTGGGCAGTTCATTATCTGTGCCTGGGGTTAGGTTCCTTGTCTTTTAACTGAAAGGCTGGAGTCTTAGGTGTTCTCCACTCTCATGGGCATCAGAATCACGTGAGGAGATTTAACTATATTATAGTTGCAGCCAGCCAGACCCCACCTGGAGACTCTGATACAGCTGGTCTGCAGGGGGGCCCAAGTAGCACAATTTTGAAAACCCTCAGTTGACTCTTGTTGACAAGGGAACCTCCACCTATTACTTGGTCATCAGGCACTGGAGACCCCCACCACTCACGGAAGACCCACCTCAGCAAAACACTGACCTGTTACCTGGCCCAGCAACTCCTCTGCTGCCTGGCATCAGCGACAGAATATTAACCTATTGCGTGACACGTCAACTAACCTACACCTGGTACCCCACCCCTCAGACCACCCCAACTTAATAAAAGCGGGAAAAATCAGGTAGCCGGTGCTCAGAACAGTGGCGAGGCCCCTGTGGGCGCCTTCGATTCTCCGACTCTCCGTGTGCCGCTCGGTTTGTCCTCCGGACCCCCTCTGCAGCACTTGCTGTAACACTGCGGCATCTAGCTGAGAAATGTCGATAGATGATTCTAAGGACCTCTGTAGAATTATGATCCAATAGTTCTGATAAGGAAATGAGCAAACTGTAGGTTAATATTTTGAAAAATAAAATTCCAAATGGTAATGTTGCTAGATAACCTGAGATCCCCTGAAAAATAGTTTTGTAAAAAAATAGCCAGTGTTCTCTAGAATCCAATAGGATTTAAAAACTATAATGTAAGCACTGGCTTCTGATTATGCCTTAGGAGAGATGTGAGCATTCTTTAATGTCCCTAGAGTTAAACATTTGCCCATTTTCTTAAATCTTTCACTCACTTAGCTAGACAATCGGATGGCTATTTCTTCATCTCCACCCTATTCATTTAAAAATCACTTATTTAAAATATATATTAAAGAAAACACTTGAGAAAAAATAAAATATATTCACTCTGAAAAAAAAAATACATATGAAGGCTGGGTTCAGTGGCTCACCCCTGTAATTCTAGCACTCTGGGAGGCCAACGTGGGAGGATCCCTTGAGGTTAGGAGAGTGCAACCCCATCTCTACTAAACATTGAAAGAAAAGAAAAAGAAAATTAGCTAAGCAACTAAAAATAGAAAAAAAAATTAGTTGGCCATGGTGTCTGATGCCTGTAGTCCCAGCTACTTGGGAGGCTGAGATTGGAGGATCATTTGAGCCCAGGAGTTTGAGGTTGCTGTGAGCTAGGCCGATGCCAAGGCACTCACTTTAGGCTGGGCACTAGATTGAGATTCTATCCCCCTGCCCACCCCAAAAATACATATGGCCCAGGTGTGGTGGCTTGTACCTGTAACCCTAGCACTCTGGGAGACCGCGATGAGAGGATCCCTTGAGCTCAGGAGTTCGAGACCAGCCTGAACAACAGAGAGACCCTATCTCTACTAAAAATATAAAAATTAGCTGAGTGTGGTGGCACACACCTTTAGTCCCAGGTATTCAGGAGGCTGAGGCAGGAGGATCGCTTGAGCCCAGCAGTTTGAGGCTGCAGTGAGCTATGATGACTCCACTTTACATAGGGTGACAGAGGGAGACTCTTAACTGGAAAAAAAAAAATCAGACATGAATACTCAAAAGGTGTTTGTTGAATTAATTAGTTTTTGTTCCCCCTTTCTAACAGCCTTTTAGGCGGCAGCGGCTCCTCAGGGTGCTCAGCTACCTCCCATCTAGGCCGGCCCCGGCCCGTCTCGCCCCCAGGAACTCACTGTTCGGGGCTGCGGATTTTCTTGTCGTGCCTCACAAACGTTAAGCTTAGAGACCTGGGGGGCCGGAAGTACCGCCTCGAGATCCCCAAATACTATCGGGAAAATGGAAGTGGCCGTCGGTGGCAGAGAGCTGTCGGCCATGGAGCCAAATGATAGTCCGAGTACCACTGTGGAGGAGCCTGATAGCTTGGAGGTGCTGGTGAAGACCCTGGACTCTCAAACTCGGACCTTCATTGTGGGGGCCCAGGTGAATGTAAAAGAGTTTAAGGAGCACATTGCTGCCTCTGTCAGTGTCCCATCTGAGAAACAGCGGCTCATCTACCAGGGCCGAGTTCTGCAAGATAAGAAGCTCCAGGAATATAATGTTGGGGGAAAGTTATCCACCTGGTGGAACGGGCGCCTCCTCAAACTCAGCTCCCTTCTGGGGCGTCTTCTGGGACAGGGTCTGCTTCAGCCACCCATGGTGGGGGACCCTCACCTGGTACTCGGGGGCCTGGGGCCTCTGTTCACGACCGAAATGCCAACAGCTATGTCATGGTTGGAACCTTCAATCTTCCTAGTGACGGCTCTGCTGTGGATGTTCACATCAACATGGAACAGGCCCCGATTCAGAGTGAGCCCCGGGTACAGCTGGTGACGGCTCAGCACATGATCGGAGATATACAGACCTTACTATCCCGGATGGAGTGTCCAGGGGGTCCCCAAGTGCACCACAGTCAGCTACCCCCACAGACGCCGACTGTGGCCCCAGAGCCAGTAGCCTTGAGCTCTCAAACATCAGAACCAGTGGAAAATGAAGTGCCTCCTCGGGAGCCCATGGAGGCAGAAGGAGGGGAAGAGCGCACCCCAGCGCAGAGCCCGGAGCTCACCCCTTCTGGCTCAGCCCCAGCAGGCCCAGCACCTGCCTCAGAGACAAATGCACCCAACCATCCTTCCCCTGTGGAGTATGTCAAAGTGCTCCAAGAGCTGCAGCGGCTGGAGAGCCATCTCCAGCCCTTCTTGCAGCACTACTATGAGGTTCTGGACACTGCTGCCACCACGGACTACAACAACAATCATGAGGGCAGGGAGGAGGATCAGCGGCTGATCAACTTGGTGGGGGAGAAACACTGCATGTGGTCCGGCCCGTGTCTCACTACACCACCCCCACGGTGCTCCAGCAGGCAGCCATTCCCATCCAGGTCAATGTGGGGACCACTGTGACTATGACAGGGAATGGGACTCGGCCTCCCCCCCCAATCCCAATGCGGAGGCACCTCCCCCTGGTCCTGGGCAGGCCTCGTCCTTGGCTCCGTCTTCTACCACTGTCGAGTCCTCAAATGAGGGGGCTCCCCGACCAGGGCCAGCTCCCCCGCCAGCCACCAGTCACCCAAGGATCATCCGGATTTCCCATCAAAGTGTGGAACCCGTGGTCATGATGCACATGAACATTCAAGATTCTGGCACACAGCCCGGTGGTGTTCCGAGTGCTCCCTCTGGCCCCCTAGGACCCCTGGTCATGGCCAGATCCTGGGCTCCACCTTCCTCCAGCTGCCCTCCCTGCCCCGAGTTGATGCACGCTGTCGCGCGCCAGATCACTCATCAGGCCACGGTGGCAGCTGTTGCCTCCGCAGCTGCAGGACAGCAAGTGCCAGGCTTCCCGACAGCTCCAACCCGAGTGGTGCTTGCCCGGCCCACCCCTCCACAGGCTCGGCCTTCCCATCCTGGGGGCCCCCCAGTCTCTGGGGCTCTGCAGGGCACTGGGCTGGGCACCAATGCCTCGCTGGCCCAGATGGTGAGCGGCCTTGTGGGGCAGCTCCTTATGCAGCCTGTCCTCGTGGCTCAGGAGACCCCAGGAATGGCTCCACCTCCAGCCCCTGCCACTGCTTCAGCCAGTGCTGGCACCACCAACACAGCCACCATAGCTGGCCCTGCCCCAGGGGGACCTGCTCAGCCTCCACCCCCTCAACCTTCCACAGCTGATCTTCAGTTCTCTCAGCTCCTGGGGAACCTACTGGGGCCTGTAGGGCCAGGGGCTGGAGGGCCTGGCGTGCCTTCTCCCACCATCCCTGTGGCAATGCCTGGTGTCCCTGCCTTTCTCCAGGGCATGACTGACTTCTTGCAGGCAACACAGACAGCCCCCCCCCCAGAGCAGCAGACCATGCCCCCACCAGGGTCCCCTTCCGGAGGTGCAGGGAGTCCTGGAGGCCTAGGCCTTGAGAGCCTGCCACCGGAGTTTTACACCTCAGTGGTGCAGGGTGTGCTCAGCTCCCTGCTGGGTTCCCTGGGGGCTCGGGCTGGCAGCAGTGAAAGTATCGCTGCCTTCGTACAGCGCCTCAGTGGATCCAGCAACATCTTTGAGCCTGGAGCTGATGGGGCTCTCGGATTCTTTGGGGCCCTGCTCTCTCTTCTGTGCCAGAACTTCTCCATGGTGGATGCAGTGAGGCTTCTCCAAGGGCATTTCCAGCCACTGCAGCGGCTTCAGCCCCAGCTACGATCCTTCTTCCACCAGCACTATCTGGGTGGTCAGGAGCCCACACCCAGTAACATCCGGATGGCAACCCACACATTGATCACGGGTCTGGAAGAATATGTGTGGGAAAGTTTTTCTTTGGGGCAGGTTCAGCCAGATGTGGACAACATCCGGACAAATCTGGAATTTCTCCAAGAGCAGTTTTTTTTTTTTTTTGAGACAGAGTCTCACTTTTGTTGCCCAGGCTAGAGTGAGTGCCGTGGCGTCAGCCTAGCTCACAGCAACCTCAAACTCCTGGGCTCAAGCAATCCTGCTGCCTCAGCCTCCCGAGTAGCTGGGACTACAGGCATGCGCCACCATGCCCGGCTAATTTTTTGTATATATATTTTTAGTTGGTCAATTAATTTCTTTCTATTTTTAGTAGAGACAGGGTCTCCCTCAGGATGGTTTTGAACTCCCAACCTCGAGCAATCCGCCCGCCTCGGCCTCCCAGAGTGCTAGGATTACAGGCGTGAGCCACCGCGCCCGGCCTCCAAGAGCAGTTTAATAGCATCGCTGCTCATGTGTTGCACTGCACAGACAGTGGATTTGGGGCCCGGTTGCTGGAGTTGTGTAACCAGGAACTGTTTGAATGTCTGGCCCTGAACCTGCACTGCTTGGGGGGACAGCAGATGGAGCTTGCTGCTGTTATCAATGGCCGGATTCGTCACATGTCTCGTGGGCTGAATCCCTCCTTGGTGAGCTGGCTGACCACTATGATGGGACTGAGGCTTCAGGTGGTGCTGGAGCACATGCCTGTAGGCCCTGATGCCATCCTCAGATACGTTCGCAGGGTTGGGGAACCCCCAGCCACTTCCTGAGGAACCAATGGAAGTTCAGGGAGCAGAAAGAACTTCCCCTGAGCCTCAGCGGGAGAATGCTTCCCCAGCCCCCGAACAACAGCAGAAGAGGCCACGTCCCGAGGTCCCCCTCCGCCTCCTGAGGGAGGCTCCCGAGATGATCAGGATGGAGCTTCAGCTGAGACAGAACCTTGGGCAGCTGCAGTTCCCCCAGGATGGGTCCCTATTATCCAGCAGGACATTCAGAGCCAGCGGAAGGTGAAACCACAGCCCCTTTGAGCGATGCCTGCCTCAGTGGTATGCCTGCCCAAAGACGCAAGACGATGCAGGGTGAGGGCCCCGGCTGCTCCTCTCAGAGGCCGTGAGCCGGGCAGCTAAGGCAGCCGGAGCTCCGCCCCTGACAAGCCCGGAGAGCCTGAGCCGGGAGCTGGAGGCACCAGAGGTTCAGGAGAGCTACAGGCAGCAGCTCCGGTCTGATATACAAAAACGACTGCAGGAAGACCCCAACTATAGCCCCCAGCGCTTCCCTAATGCCCACCGGGCCTTTGCTGATGATCCCTAGCTCTTTGCTGTAACAGGGGACCATTTCCCCCCTCTTCCTTCACAGTATTTAAGAAATAAAAGTCAGCCTGTAATCCTAGCTCTCTGGGAGGCTGAGGCGGGCGGGTTGCTCGAGGTCAGGAGTTCGAAACCAGCCTGAGCAAGAGCGAGACCCCATCTCTATTATAAATACAAAGAAATTAATTGGCCAACTAATATATATAGAAAAAATTAGCTGGGCATGGTGGTGCATGCCTGTAGTTCCAGCTACTCGGGAGGCTGAGGCAGGAGGATTGCTTGAGCCAGGAGTTTGAGGTTGCTGTGAGCTAGGCTGACGCCACGGCACTCACTCTGGCCTGGGCAACAAAGTGAGACTCTGTCTCAGAAAAAAAAAAAAAAAACAACCAATTGCTTTATACAGCGTGAAACAGCATTTCTGTAGCTCCCTCAACCAAGCTACTTCCCTCAGGTTGCACCTCCACCTCTAAAGTACCCGGTTACTCAAGTAGCCTTCTGCCATTTTGATTTTGAGGGAGTTCAAGCTAGCGAAACTTCCCTGAGTCTGAAAAGCCCCATCACCTGCTTACTGGCTCACACTTAGGCAGAGTGGAAAGCAGCTTTTCTTTTTTTTTTCCTTTTATAAAACATTTTCCAGCTTTACTTTTAATCTTATAACTTATTCACCCTTTTTTTTGACTATCCAATATTTAAATTTCTAAAATTCTGCATTTCAATGTAGTAAGAATTCTTTTTTAAATGATCTTCACAACCCAGGACGCTGACACCAGAGCAATACTCTCAAGTCGCATAGTTTGACTATGATGAAGAGATGAAAATGGACGATATCTGAAGACAGGTCCTTCCCTGCTCCGAAAGTGAGCAAGCTCTTGACATATGACCAACACAGAACTCCGTTCCTCTGCAGCTCCCTCAAACTCAGAATGCTTCCACTGAATAAGTCAATATATTGTTCTTAAAAATTAAAATTTGGTCACTAAGAAGGACCAAACAAAAATTATCCCCCTCCCCAACAACCAGAACAGCTCTAATCAGCCCTCCTTCTCCCCACAAAGTCAGGGAAGCAGTTGGGACTGAAGACTTTAAATATGAAATGTCAGCTCCTAAAATAATGCTATTTGCTCAAGATTGTTAGGTCTTTATATTTCCTTCTCCAACACTCCCCATGTATACGTTTATTCCCCCTCACACGCACGCACACGCGCACGCACGTGCACATACACACGTGCACACACACGCACATACACACGCGCGCACACGCACACGTGCACATACACACGTGCACACACACGCACGCGCGCACACATGCACACACACGCGCGCGCACACGCGCTCTCCAGTGAGACACTTTCTGTGTCGTGGATAAACTATGAGGACTCTGAACTGGGTGTGAGCAGGCCTTCCCGGTGCTCTGTAAACATCAGTGTCACTGGGGCCCTTTCCCGGAAGGCCTAAGTCGCATGCACCGGCGGGGACCCAAGACGGCGGCCGGCGGGGCGGAGACCCCTCGCCCGCCTGAGTGCTGTGCGCGGGGAAGGCCCGGGGCGCCGTCCGCGGGCCCCACCGCGCCTGAACCAGCGTCAGGGAACCCACAGCGACCCCGAACCCGCGGGCCACCTGGGCGCTCACCACATCTGCCCGCCAGCTTCGGGGACAGCGCCGCGCCTGCCCGATGGCAATTCAAAACTTGGTCATCTTCGTCGTCGCTATTTGCAAACTCTGGCGAGCACTTTGAACAATCTAGGCTAGAAGCTCCTGCTGTTGTCCGACAGTTTCATCCGCGGATCTGGAGCCCTTTCTTTTGGAGACGCCGCATCAGCTAGCTCTCAAACACCCGCGTTCCACCGGTCTTTGCCGAGGAGCGGGGGCGCAAGCGCAAAACTCGTGCGCGCTCAGGGCTCAGCCCTCCGGCCGCCGCGGGCTCGTGCGGCTGCGAGGGGCGGCCGCTGCCCTGGGCGTCGCCAGGCGCGCGGGCCGCTTGCGGTGCCGCCGGGCAGGGCAGCTCGAGGGGCAAGAACCGCCTTGGCGGGCGTGAGGCCGGCGCCTAGGACGGCAGCGGCGCGCCAAGACAGTTCCCGGGCTGACACACGCGGAGCGGAGTGCGTGCACTCCGCGCGCTCGCGGCTGCCCACACCTCTCCTGCTCCTCACGCAGGCGTGATGGCGAGGTGTCCCGCCCCTGCTGCCAGCACGGGCCACAGCTCCCCCGCGCTGTGCATCGCGCTCCGCCCCGCGCCTCACCGCAACAACTCGCCCTGCCGCCCCTTCCACCTCACCAGCAACACCTCGCCCGCGCGCTCAAGCAACACCTCGCCCCGCCCACGCTCCACACGCAGAACCTCGCCCCGAACCCTTCCCAGCCAACACACGTCGCCCCGCCCCGCCTCCATCGCAACTCCCCGCCCCCCACTCACCGCAACACCTCGCCCCCGCCCCGCCCCTCCACCGCAACACCTCGCCGCCCCCCACCTCCACCGGCAAGCACTCGCCCCGCCCCTCCACCGGCAACACCTCGCCCCGCCAACGCCTCCACGCAACACCATCGCCGCCCCATCCACGCAAGCACCTCGCCCGCCCGCCCCACTCCACGCAACACCGCGTCGCCCCGCCCTCCACTCAACCGGCAGCGCCCCGCCCCGCCCCTCCCACCGCGCCGCCCCCGCCCCCTCCAACCGCAACACCGCCGCCGCCTCTCTCACCGCAATACCCGCGCCTCCACGCAACACGCCCGCCCCGCCTCACCTCCACCGCAACGCCCAGCGCCCGCGCCCGCCGCCTTCCCCCCTGGCAGCGGCGCGGGGTAGTGCGGGCAGGTGCGGATTGGCCGGCGCGGAGCTCTCAGGCTGCTTCTCTCGTCCGTCCGTGCAGGAGAAGAAAGGGAATTCGAATGTTGGTTGTAATAAATATCTGCCGTCTCCTCTTTGACGCTTCCTGGGTAGAGGCTGCTCGTGCAGGCCGGGCGCCTAGAAACAGCTTCTTTCGCGTGCCTCGGCCACACGCAGGGCCAGGGCCCCTCGGCGTCGCCCAGTCCTCTCTGCCTGACACCGCCTCGGTGCGGCCAGGGCGCCCACCTGCGCGGCCCACCTGCGCGGCCAGGGCGCCCCCACCTGCGCGGCCAGGGCGGCCCACCTGCGCGGCCAGGGCG